TTAAACCCTCACATCATGAGTTTAAACCTTCACATCGTGAGTTTAAACCTTCACATCATGAGTTCAAACTCTCACATCATGAGTTTAAACCTTCACATCATGAGTTCAAACCTGAGTTTAAACCTTCACATCATGAGTTTAAACCCTCACATCATGAGTTTAAACCTGAGTTTAAACCTTCACATCATGGGTTTAAACCTTCACATCATGAGTTTAAACCTGAGTTTAAACCTTCACATCATGAGTTTAAACCTTCATGAGTTCAAACCTTCACATCATGAGTTTAAACCTTCACATCATGAGTTTAAACCCTCACATCATGAGTTTAAACCTGAGTTTAAACCTTCACATCATGGTTTAAACCCTCACATCGTGAGTTTAAACCTTCACATCATGAGTTTAAACCTGAGTTTAAACCTTCACATCATGAGTTTAAACCTTCACATCATGACTTTAAACCTTCACATCATGAGTTTAAACCCTCACATCATGAGTTCAAACCTTCACATCATGAGTTCAAACCTTCACATCATGAGTTTAAACCTTCACATCATGAGTTTAAACCTTCACATCATGAGTTCAAACCTTCACATCATGAGTTCAAACCTTCACATCATGAGTTTAAACCTTCACATCATGACTTTAAACCTTCACATCATGAGTTTAAACCTCACATCATGACTTTAAACCTTCACATCATGACTTTAAACCTTCACATCATGACTTTAAACCTTCACATCATGAGTTTAAACCTTCACATCATGACTTTAAACCTTCACATCGTGAGTTTAAACCTTCACATCATGAGTTTAAACCTTCACATCATGAGTTTAAACCCTCACATCATGAGTTTAAACCTGAGTTTAAACCTTCACATCATGGGTTTAAACCCTCACATCGTGAGTTTAAACCTTCACATCATGAGTTTAAACCTGAGTTTAAACCTTCACATCATGAGTTTAAACCTTCACATCATGACTTTAAACCTTCACATCATGAGTTTAAACCCTCACATCATGAGTTCAAACCTTCACATCATGAGTTCAAACCTTCACATCATGAGTTTAAACCTTCACATCATGAGTTTAAACCTTCACATCATGAGTTCAAACCTTCACATCATGAGTTCAAACCTTCACATCATGAGTTTAAACCTTCACATCATGACTTTAAACCTTCACATCATGAGTTTAACCCTCACATCATGACTTTAAACCTTCACATCATGACTTTAAACCTTCACATCATGACTTTAAACCTTCACATCATGACTTTAAACCTTCACATCATGACTTTAAACCTTCACATCGTGAGTTTAAACCTTCACATCATGAGTTTAAACCTTCACATCATGACTTTAAACCTTCACATCATGACTTTAAACCCTCACATCATGAGTTTAAACCTTCACATCATGACTTTAAACCCTCACATCATGAGTTTAAACCTTCACATCATGACTTTAAACCCTCACATCATGAGTTTAAACCCTCACATCATGAGTTTAAACCCTCACATCATGAGTTTAAACCTTCACATCATGAGTTTAAACCCTCATATCATGAGTTTAAACCCTCACATCATGAGTTCAAACCTTCACATCATGAGTTCAAACCTTCACATCATGAGTTTAAACCCTCACATCATGAGTTCAAACCTTCACATCATGAGTTCAAACCTTCACATCATGAGTTTAAACCTTCACATCATGAGTTTAAACCTTCATGAGTTTAAACCTTCACATCATGAGTTTAAACCTTCATGAGTTTAAACCTTCACATCATGAGTTTAAACCTTCACATCATGAGTTTAAACCCTCACATCATGAGTTTAAACCTTCACATCGTGAGTTCAAACCTTCACATCATGAGTTTAAACCTTCACATCATGAGTTTAAACCTTCACATCATGAGTTTAAACCTTCATGAGTTTAAACCTTCACATCATGAGTTTAAACCTTCATGAGTTCAAACCTTCACATCATGAGTTTAAACCTTCACATCGTGAGTTTAAACCCTCACATCATGAGTTTAAACCTTCACATCATGAGTTTAAACCCTCACATCATGAGTTTAAACCTTCACATCATGAGTTTAAACCTTCACATCATTAGTTTAAACCTTCATGAGTTTAAACCTTCACATCATGAGTTTAAACCCTCACATCATGAGTTTAAACCTTCATGAGTTTAAACCTTCACATCGTGAGTTTAAACCTTCACATCATGAGTTTAAACCTTCACATCATGAGTTTAAACCCTCACATCATGAGTTTAAACCCTCACATCATGAGTTTAAACCTTCACATCATGAGTTTAAACCTTCACATCGTGAGTTTAAACCTTCACATCGTGAGTTTAAACCCTCACATCATGAGTTTAAACCCTCACATCATGAGTTTAAACCTTCACATCATGAGTTTAAACCCTCACATCGTGAGTTTAAACCTTCACATCATGAGTTTAAACCTTCACATCGTGAGTTTAAACCTTCACATCGTGAGTTTAAACCCTCACATCGTGAGTTTAAACCTTCACATCATGAGTTTAAACCCTCACATCGTGAGTTTAAACCTTCACATCGTGAGTTTAAACCTTCACATCATGAGTTTAAACCTCACATCATGAGTTTAAACCCTCACATCATGAGTTTAAACCCTCACATCTTCTACATCATGTCTGCTAACTCTTCAGCTCTGTGGATGATTGTTAAACTTCAGCTAACATAGTTTAAAAGTACCTCAGTCATTTATTGTAACAGATCCCACCAAACCCCATGCAGAATCTGACTCGGCCTTGTTGTTTGTTTTGATTATATAAAATACTCATCGTATTGTTTAAGTTTGAATACATTTTCTTAAACAGTTTAAACCCTTTGAATTTGGCATATATTCAATGTAAATAAGTTAATCATTGTGGTTTGGATAAGAAGTCAAACATTGATCTGTACTGCTTCGAGCCTATTCCAGTGACTGAGCAGGGCAGGATTAAATTGCTCGAGTTTTGAAGAGAGTTTGGTTTATTCTCTGATTTTTTCAAATAAAGATGTGTGTGTGTGTGTGTGTGTGTGTGTGTGTGTGTGTGTGTGTGTGTGTGTGTGTGTGTGGTGTGTGTGTGTGTGTGTGTGTGTGTGTGTGTGTGTGTGTGTGTGTGTGTGTGTGTGTGTGTGTGTGTGTGTGTGTGTGTGTGTGTGTGTGTTGTGTGTGTGTGTGTGTGTGTGTGTGTGTGTGTGTGTGTGTGTGTGTGTGTGTGTGTGTGTGTGTCTCTGTCTCCTCGGCTGACATCACACTTTGTGTGGCGTCTTCTCAAAGGGATAATTGTAGCATTTTAGGTTCATTCATAAAACTTTTCATGCGGCTCAATCATCTTTTATAATTCAATATAAAGGAGCAGTATGTAACTCTGACCTCTAGTGTTTAAAATGGGTAAATGGGAGAGCTGTCCCCCCCCCCCCCTCCTCTCTAGAGTCCATGCTCACTCAGGTCACCATGTGGTGGACTCTGAAGCTTCAGTGTTTATCCAGCTCTGCATGGGTCTGTAAACCTTTCTGTGACCATTATATGAGCTGCAGCTGTTTGTAAAAGTCTGTGTGTGTGTGTGTGTGTGTGTGTGGGACAGGTTGTGGGCCTGGGTAACCCGGGGATGGAGGGTACCAGACACAGCGTGGGCATGGCGGTGCTCGGCTCCCTCGCCGCCCGGCTCGGCGTGGCTGAGCGTTGGCGCGGCGACAAGCACGTGTCCGGTGAGGTCATCGTGTCGGAGGTGCAGCAGACGCACGTGGTGCTGCTCCGTCCCAGGCTGCTGATGAACATCAACGGGGTGTCAGTGGCCAAAGCAGGTGAGGTCACGTGTGTGTGTGTGTGTGTGTGTGTGTGTGTGTGTGTGTGTGTGTGTGTGTGTGTGTGTCTGATTTTACATGAATGAACACACAGAGAGAGCAGGCAGAAGAAGATATTCTTTATTCATCTCATGAGGGGAGATTCAGTTTTACACTCACTCCACACTGAAGGGGCTGCACACAGCGAGCGCTCCTCAGCTGTTGGGGGGGTTTGGTGCCTTGCTTAAGGGCACCTCTGCAGTGACCAGGACGTGAACTAAAACCTCTCCAGCTAATCAGACCAGCTGCCAGATTTGGTCCACCGGGACTTGAACCAGCGACCCTCCACTTCCCTACAGACTGAGCTGCTGCCGCCCCTGTTCACAAGAGTTCTGTTCACAAGAGTTCTGTTCACAAGAGTTCTGTTCACAAGAGTTCTGTTCACAAGAGTTCTGTTCACAAGAGCTGTTCACAAGAGTTCTGTTCACAAGAGTTCTTTAAAGTGTTTGCCGGTTCAGTCGCTCCTTTCATCAAACTTCAGAAACGTTTCAACCGCTTTGATGTTTTACAGCGATTCACTTTTATTGGTTCAGATGTTTAGTTTGTAAGTCAGATGTTTTCTGATGTGTGGAGGGTATCTTTGGCATCCATTCTGATAAAGTTTGAATAACTTTGAACCATTTGTAGTAGATTTACTGAACTGGTATGGAGTAGTTTGTCATGAATGAAGGAAGTTTTGAACTTTTCTTTTTTAATTTAAGTTCAGGTGTTTAAAGTTATTAGAAAATGATTTTTTTTTGTATTTTTAAAGAGAAGTGTTTGATTTTTTTTCTCTCCAGCTGGAAAATATGGAATCAGACCTGAAGACATCCTGCTGGTTCACGACGACCTGGACAAACCTCTGGGGAAGATCTCCATCAAACAAGGAGGAAGTGCCAGGTGGGCTTGATTCATCGTAAACTCGTTATCTTTAGCTCACTTGATGCTTACTCGTCCTTAAGAAAGGTCAGCAGAAAGCTTTATGAGCATCAGATGGAGCTACAAAAAGAAATAACAAGCAAAGTCCATTTTTTTATTTTTCTGAAATGATTCACAAGAACAGATTGTGCAAATGAGACGTCTTTAAAAACTTCATTTAATTCTTGTTCACAGAGGTCATAATGGCGTCCGCTCCTGTGTCGACTGTCTGCAGACCGATGTGAGTCACCGCAAGGTTTTTTTTTGTGTTTGTTTTTGCAGAAAAAACAACGAAGTGTGTTTGAATTTATGATGTGCACCTGCTGATGAAACTCTCTCTCTCTCTCTCTCTCTCTCTCTCTCTCTCTGTCTCTCTCTCTCTCTCTCTCTCTCTCTCTCTCTCTCTCTCTTCTGTCTCTCTCTCTGTCTCTCTCTCTCTCTCTCTCCTCTCTCTCTCTCTGTGTCTCTCTCTCTCTCTCTCTCTCTCTCTCTCTGTGTCTCTCTCTCTCTCTCTCTGTCTCTCTCTCTCTGTCTCTCTCTCTCTCTCTCTGTCTCTCTCTCTGTCTCTCTCTCTGTCTCTCTCTGTCTGTCTCTCTCTCTGTCTCTCTCTCTCTCTCTGTCTCTCTCTGTCTGTCTCTCTCTCTCTCTCTGTCTCTCTCTCTCTCTCTCTCTGTCTCTCTCTCTGTCTCTCTCTCTGTCTCTCTCTGTCTGTCTCTCTCTCTCTCTCTCTCTCTCTCTCTGTCTCTCTCTGTCTGTCTCTCTCTCTGTCTCTCTCTCTCTCTCTGTCTCTCTCTCTGTCTCTCTCTGTCTCTCTCTCTCTGTCTCTGTCTCTGTCTCTGTCTGTCTGTCTCTCTCTCTCTGTCTCTCTCTGTCTCTCTCTCTCTGTCTCTCTCTCTCTCTCTCTCTCTCTGTCTCTCTCTGTCTGTCTCTCTCTCTCTCT